TCCAAATACAGTCACACCATCTCACACAAAAACTCATCTCCTAGTTGTTCAGTGCCTCTGTGGATGCAACCTAAACTCACTCTGGTTTTTACAAAGCCTATACATCATATTGCAAATTGGGGCCTGTTCTTCCTGTCAGAAGCATGCACAAATCCCCTTCATATGAAAGGGAGTTGGGTGCACACAACTGACAGGATTATCAGGCCCATGGTATCACTCCTATCCCTTTTTCAGCAATACTGTTTTCCAGGTTATTCCCTCACAGTGAATACCTGTTTTGGATTACTATTCCTCAGCTGTTTTAGCTTGCATTTACCAAACTAAATCTCATTTGTATTTTCCAACAATGTGCCTCATTTCTTTATATCACCTTTTTTTTCTGCCCTGACTTGTGTTTAACTCTTCCCACTATCATTGTCTGTTAATACCACATAGGACATTCTCGTAGTTAATTAATTCAGACACTAAATATGCCTAAAATGGCTAAACTTGTATTACTACAGGCATACATAAGCACTAGCGTTACTCTTTTAGCTCCTAAAACTGCTGTGACTCACCAAATCTACTCTTCATACTTTATTCTATTTTTGCTTATGGTCCTTCACTCAGTTTTTCATTTGGAACACTACACATATATATAAATAATTTGTTAATGAGAGATTGAGATGTATTTTAATTTTAGAGAATATTTAAAATACTACTACAGCTACAACTTTCTCTTCATCCACTGGGGCCTTGAACATGCAATCACATTTGGCAAACAAGCAAGCTTCTCCATACTCACAGATCTATGTGCAGATGCTGTTGCAGTATCAGATCTTAATTCTAAATGCTGAGCAAGAATAACAATTAAAACTCTTTTAAAGTAATTTTACTCAGAAAATTCTATGCTTATTATTGTTTCCTTAATATTTCTGCCATTATTTTACTAGGAACAGACAATTTATCTAGCTCTTCAGCTCATGCTGCTTTTCTTACCATTCTTCTTTCCCCCCCTTTTTTAATTAAAGAAATCAGTACTATTATTCAATTTCTTAGTAGCATCTTGAAGATAGAATCACCTAAAAATATCTTCAGATCTTTCAAAAAACCCCTCTATTTGTTGTCAATAACTGTTTCATATGGTCCTGATTTTTAACTGCTTCCACTTTTTCATCCTACTATATATGGAATTTCAGGAAATTTGGCATAATGGCTTGTCTTTATAATAACTTTATGCAACTTCTCATTTATGAACTGACCTCTTCCCTCTCTACTTGACTTCCCCTTACCTCCCCAATAACTACAACAGTAAATTCTTACTCATCTTTAACTTATATTAACTCATTTCTCTTGCCTTTACTGGAAGGTTACAATACACAACTGCTAATCACCTTTCAGAAATTCTCTGCAGAACTGAGACTTATTTTACCTGACACTTAGTCCTTTCATATAATTTACCTTAATGCAGATAAACTATTTCCAAAACCAAACTGGTTTTACTTCAGTTAGGCATACTTCATTTGCACATTTAGTTTACCAGTTTTCTCACTCCCCAAGAACAGATGAAGACCCACAAAAAAACCAAAGTATTGCTTACACTCACATGAAAACCAACAGAACCTTATACTAACATGTGAGGTCACATCAACCCAATTCAGTAGGAGTGTAACCTAATCTACCATTAACATAAAAAACAGACTATATTTCATGTTAACATTGTTTTCACCTTCTGCATGTTTACCAACTAACAAAAATGTAAAAGCATGCCTACGTAACGGATGTTTACATTTATTACCCCATATAAAAATATTTTCATTAACATTATAAAATAATCTTCAGAGAAGCATTTAGAAAATGCTTTATTAATTCATCTCAATTGAGATGAAACATCTAATTTACACTACATCCAAGGGAACTACACTCTCTGATGCTGTAGAGACTTACAGAACTACATTAACAAGTACAGTCTATCAATGGTTATCGGCACTGTGGCTTTTGACTGCTCACTAAGAACCACAGTGCATAAATTACTTCACCTGTCAGATGGCTCAAAGCAACACAGGCACAAAGTTTGAATGGTTCAGACTTTCCCTAACATAAATAACTTTTTCCAGTGAGAGAAAAGAGAGGGCAGTGCAAGGGAGAAAGGGTAGATAGGATTGCCAATCATATATTCCAATATCACCTATCATAAAGCCTATGAGATTTGTATCAGAAGTTTAAAAAAATCACATCTTTAATGAAGCTTAACATACATTCCCAAAGACACCCAGCAAAATTCCACAATAGTAAAAATGAAAAAGATATTTAAACAAAGAAGACACACCCCACAACTGCCTGGAAAAAAACATAACCCAATGACTGTTCAGCAAAACCTTCAGTTTGATCAAGCCACAGGACTACTGACATCACACAAAAAATTCAACTTTCTAAATTGTTCACACAGGAATTTTAAGTCAAAATGACAGCATTATTAGAGATAACACAGCAAAAGGAGCAACTGGTCCATGTAGCTTGAGACCTTATCTCAGTGAACATGGTATGCCAGATGTTTCATAGAAAGAAGCAACTTTCATCACAAACCATCACAAATCCAAATCTGCGAAAGTATGCATGTAGGTGCACACCACTCAATCCCTCTGAATCCAACAGCGTCCCATCTGCCATGCAGATCCCTCATTTTACAGAACACAAAACACAAAATTGCATAAAAATGATACAAAACTTGATAGGCCTCAATTTCTTTGGCTTTGTTTGCAAAATCATTACAATAGCGAGCCCAAGATTATACTCCTATTTGAGACTCAAAAAGAACTTTTTTTTTTTCCCAAGGGTAATTGCTCAGCAGTTCATGAAAATCTAGCCCTATAAGAAACCTTAGGTTATGGTC